AATAGGGCTACTTGTTTCCTTCAAATACCAGCTGCATTTAAAACAAAAAACAAAACAAAACAAACAAACAAAAAAAAACAAGAGCTTTTTCTCCCACAAAAAGGCCACCTACTTACTTAAATCTTCATCTTCTTGCTGAGAGTCATTTACAGTCATATACACCATCTTTTCCCTTGGAACACGAATACTGCTGTTCTGATCAAGTAGTTCAACTCCATGATCATTCTCAGGCTCACTCTCCACAATGTCTACTGTTCCACCTATCAGGGAAGATGACAGCTCCAAGAATTTATTTGAAAACTTTATTTCCACCTGTTCCATTTATTACTTTCTACATACTTTTATGTTACTACATTGGAATTCCTTTTTGAAAGTTATCTTCAGAAAAGATTTCAAATGTTTTCAGTCTAAGTAACTCAAAAGTGATCAGGTTGAAGAATATGGATCAAGATGTATAATGAGCTGAAGGTTTCCTCTTACCTAAGTCATCCTCCCCAGGGTCAGCTTTGAATATGTACACCTTGATGACTTCAGGACAAGTGCCATCAACTTTACAAGGATCAATTTCTGACTCCACATCCATGGTCATTCCAGAGGAACCATCATGTTCTATTTTGCCAGCATCATCCACTAAAAAGGCAGGAAATACATCAGAAATAACAATAGCATATACTCACATAAAATGTTATCATTTAAAAAACTTTTTATTGTCATTTGGGTGAAAGTTTACAGAATAAATTGGTGTTCCATTCAACAATTCATATACTTTTTTTGTGTGTGTGACACTGATTGCAATTCTCACAATGTAACAGCATTCTTCCCACTTCCTCCCTGTTTATTGTTTCCCTACCTGCTTTCTGAGCTTTATCCCTGGGCAAGTGCCGTCCTTTTGATCTACTATGGTTTCCTATTCTAAGGGATGCATATTTCCCTGTTGTTACACCTTGTAGGCATGTTTGGCTGAAAGTTGAGCCACTGGGTTAAATTTAGTTCCAGGCCTGAAGGGTGACTAAGAGCCACAGTCTCAGGGGTTCCACCAGTCTCTATAAGACCAGTAAGCCTCGTCTTTTTGATGACTTTGAGTCTTGTTCTACATTTTCTCGCACTCTACCCAGGACCTTCTATTGTGATCTCTTCCACAGCAGTCAGCAGTCACAGCAAGTACCTTCTAGTTCTTCTGGTCTCTCAAGTCCTTTTTATAAATATAATCTCTAACCTGATTCACATAAAATTGGTAAATATTACCTAGACAAACAGAAGTAAGACTTAATAAATACATTCCTAAAGACTTCTAAAAATGAGATCATTATTAAGGTAAAAAGTATTCCACATAGAAAAAACCCCAGTAGTCTACAAAACTAATGAAGTTTAGTTTTTGCTAATCCATAATGTAAAAGCATCTTTAATATAGTAATATTAAAGATATTCTTAAAATATTTTAAAGTGAAAATGCTGGAAGAACATCCTACTAGTAAAATCAGGAAACACAGGTCTTAATATAAATATTTTTATAAGCACTATTTCATGGTCACTACTCTTGAATATTATTTGATCAAATCTATTTCCACTAGAATAGTATCTTTGAAAATAATTAAAATACAATCACAAGAAAGGTACACTGCAATAAGATGGTCACTGTAAAGTCTAATTCAATCTGTTTATATTTAAAACTAAACACACACAAAACTACACACGTGATATGTAATACACACACACACATACTTTGGTTCACAACAATAGTGAGCTTAGTTAGGTCCTTGTTGGCAAACATAGGATTTGTAAATTCACACATATTTTCCTATGTCCCATTGCCCTCCTCCTGTTTTTATGTTAAAAAAAAAAAAGAAGTCACCCTTAACAACAGAGATACACACGATTTTTCAGTAGCAGAGACTCAGAGGATATACAACAAACATTACAATTTATAAAAGCAATCAAGGAAGTAAGGGTGGCATTATACCTAGGCGATAGAAAATAAAAGATTAAAAATACCCAAGAAAACTGTCTTTGAAAAAAGACTGCATTTGAATAAATACCAAAAATATAATGCTCACTTAATATAACCTTATATTACATTTGCTTGTGGTTAGCCACTGCTATCTATAGCACAATAGTAAGTGTGGCAAAGACTATAAAAACTTAGCAATCTAGCTAATAGTTATACTACAATTTATCACAAAAGTCAGATTTACCGATGTTGAGCCCATTCAAGAAACACAGAAGGAATGTTCTCTCTCTGTTCAGCTGGCCTATCTGGCAAACCTGAAGGCCACGCAGTGAGGAGTAGGATCGAGGCCCAAAAGAAGCTTATTTTCAATGCCCCTATCAAGCTTTTTCGTCACCCTTTTTCCCTTTGAACTGCCTTTCTGGTATGCCCCTTGTTGGCTATAATCTCTTTGCCATTTGGTTGGACATTTCAGGTCCTACTGAATTCAACAACAATGATTTATAACTATATACTGGATTCTGGACTAGGTATTAGAGACACAAATATGAAAAAGTCATGAACTCGAGAAATTAAAAGACTAGTGGAAAAGCAGCAAATAAACAAATGATTATTTTAAAGTGTATTAATGACAGCTACAGCATATTAGGGAACTCTGGTAGTGTAGTGCATTAAGCATTTGACTGCTAACCAGAAGGCTGGCGGTTCAAACCCACGAGCCATTCCTTGGAAGGAAGGTTGGGCAATCTACTTCTGTAGTGATACCGCCTCAGAAAACCAAGAGGGGTCGCTGTGAGTCAGGTCCAACTCAACAGCACATAACAACAACCACCACCACCACATATTAAGTGGTACGGTATCATCTACATTTCACAATAGAGCAAACTGAAGTTTAGAGAGGTTGAGCAACTTATCTGGAGGCACAGAGAATTCAAAATCCCAATCCATGTGACTCCCATTTAGAGTGTGTCAACCTCTGGGGTTTGGAGAATGTATTTCATAAAGTTTAAATTGTTAGAGGCAATGATGGCTTTCTGGGGGGAAAAATAATGAATAAACATAATAACTGCCTAAAGATGCTTTCTAAGCCATTGTCATTTTCACAATCTAAGGCTGCAGTGGTGGCTTAAAAAAATTTTTTTTTTTAATTGCAGTAAAATATATTTTACAAAAAATTTTACCATTTTTAAGTGTACAATTCAGTAACATTAATTACATTCACCAGGTGCAACCATGTGGTAGTGGTGGTTTTGATCACCATAAAGTTTGAAATTCAGTTATTTTTCATGTAATTTACATCCATTATAAGCCACTGGTGGGAGCTCTGCTAGCATAGTGGCTAAGACACTTGCCTGCTAACCAGACGGCTGGTGGTTCAAACCCACCAGCCACTCCTCAGAAGGAAGGTTGGACAATCCTACTTCCGTAGTGATACTGCCTCGGAAACCCAAGGAGGGGTCGCTATGAGTCGGGGCCGACTCGACGGCACATAACAACAACAACAACATAAGCCACTGGTAAAGACAGAACTCAGATTCTGACACCTTTGAAATTATACACCTGCAAATTCCTGTCATGCAGATCTAAAAATTGCATTTATCTAATAAAAATTCGTACATAAAACATCAAGATGAATGTAGTTAATTCAAAAGCCAACATTAGCAAGCAAAATTATAGTGACAATTTATACAGTTTGACTTCTGACTTTCATGAATCAAGACCATCTATATCCCAAACAAATTACTTGCAGAGAAATGCTTACAAATAGCATTCTGAAACCTTCATTTTATTTTGTCATTTGCCAACACAAAACTCTAAAATTTAATCAGTTCACTTCAAATGCAAGGTGCAAGAATTCCAATCTCTGGGCAGTTTTGTCTCTTTCTGACATGTAATGTCATTAAGTGGCAAACTATATTTTATATTTGGATTCAAAATAAAATATGTATTTTTAACATTGTTGATCAGGAGCAAAACAAGGATACTCATTTTTACCATTGCCCTTCAACACTGTACTAGAAGTCCAAGCCAAAGCAATTAGACAAGAAAAAGTCATAAAAGGTATCCAAATCAGGAAAAAGGAAGTTAAATTGTCCCTTTCCACAAATCACATTATCCAATGTACTGGGGGGAGGGGGGACACCAACCACCAAATGTTCCACAGGAAAACTATTAAACTATTAAAGCTAATAAATAAATTCAGGATGTGAGAGTGGCAGGATAAAAGGTCAACAAACAAAATTAGCCAGATTTCTAGACATCAGCAAAAAATACCAAGGAAACAATTCCATTTACAATAGCATTTAAACGAATAAAGTACCTAGAAATAAATTTAACCAGGAAGGTGAAAGACCTTGATAAGGCACTTGACTGCTAACCAGAAGGTCAGTGCTTCAAATCCACCAGCTTTTCTGCAGAAGGAAGGCTGGGTGATCTACTTCTGTAAATATTTACAGCCTTGGAAACCCAATAGGGGTCGCTATGAGTCTGAAACGACTCAATGACCATTAGGTTTTTTTTTTTTTTTTTCCAAGAAATTAAAGATAACCTAATAAATGGAGGGACATTTTATGTTCATGGGTTAGTTAATACTGTCAAGATCTCAAACTATAAATTCAGTGGAATCCCCATCAAAATTCCAACAGCCAGGGACTTCCGGCAAGATGGAGGAATAGGCAGACAAGCTACCCAGACACTCTACAAGAAAGAAATGAGAAACCAATTGAAACAGATACAGATGACAATCCTGGAACCCTGAGTTTTGAAGGGAAAGATAAAGTGGGTTAAATATTGACCAGTAAAAGAAAAAGAACAAAAACAGCAAGTTAAGAGATAAAGGGAGCTCTGGAATGCTGACTGGCCTGAAGGGGTGGCCATTCTGAATATCTGCAAGGAGGATTCCAATGCAGGCAGCAACCTGATAATCAGTTCCACTTGCTGAGGACTGCACAGGAACCCACACAAGTGACCAGAAAGCAACCATATAACTCAACCATATCTATACCTCCTACAGCCCCATACACTGGGCGAGGGCCACCACCTGCTTCTGCACCAACTGATCAAACATACATGACAGCCAATACCAGCTCAACCAGCCCTCAACTGCTGTACATGAACAGCAAACAGCAAACTGTGCATACAGTCTCATCCTCTATCACACCCACCAGGAGACAGGTGGTGAGTGCCTAAGTGCTGCCAAACTAGCAAACAGAGTAGTACTCCAGCCTTACTCACTCACATATGTATCAAAACAATATAATAATAATAATAATAATAATAATAATGACTGGAAAATCACTATAGCATACAATCACCAATTAAATACAAATACAAGAGCATCACGATGTCCCAGAGACAAATGACTGACAATCCCAGTTCACACAAAGCAGCAAGAAAAGCAGTACAAACAAGGGACCAAAATACAGACCCAGAAAACCTCCCTGAAGAAGTGGCATTGAAATTAACTAATAAGGAATTCAAAAGAATTATACTAAGGTACCTTCAATGGATTGCGAGATCAAGGAAAAAACGGACAAAATTAAGGAAAACACAAAACTCCAAAAGAATTTAGGAAAACAATGCAAGAAGAAACTGACAAAATAAATGAAAAATTAAAAACTATACAAAAACAGGAGTTCTGGTGGTTTACTAAGGAGCTCTGGTGGCATCGTGGATAAGGCATCTG